TCAAACCATCTCCTAAATATTGATGCCTCAAATTAGGGTTTTGATTTTCACAAGGATAATTGGATTTTTAATGCCTCAAATGACCTTCATGGATCATTATAGACCTCCAATAATACTCATATCAAGTTTCAAGTCTTGAATCGCAAATTTTCTCAGTCAATTGACCAGATGACTGAAAATCAACTATACTGTGTAAAAAGTCAACTATAGTTAACCTACAGTTAAACTTCATTATTTTTTGCCAACATCAACATTTTTAAGTCCTATTCATCATTTTATCAAGTATTAATCACAATCCCTCAAGAAAAGCACTCAATTTACCAAAGGGGAATATGGTCAAAATTAGGGTTTTGATTGTAATTGACTGATCAATGACTTTTGACCTAATACATGATCTAATGGCTTGAAGCATAATCTAAAGGACTAAGACACAACATTTTGACCTAATTTCATGGCTCAAATAATTTCTCAATATCAATGCATTGATAGTTGAAATTTGATTAACTGATAAAAAGTCAACTGATGCATAAAAAGTCAAACTTTGACTTTTTGATCAAAATTCAATTTCAAAGATCACAATTCATCAAGATATTAAAAAAATATAAAAATTGATCATCAAGAATCAAGAAAGTCAAAAAAAGTCTATGAAAAGTCAAAGTTTTCAATACTTAGAAATTTTCTAAGTGTTTTATATAGATAATTTCACTACTTCATGAATTTATTCACCAAGATGCAAGATGATTCAAGGAAAACTTTCAACATGAAATTTGTAGATCTTTATGAATTATACAAACTTGTATTAGAGTGTTGATGTCCAAAAGATGCTTAGATTTGAAGAAATAAGCCCATCAAGTCATGACATTTTTCATAAAACACTTAGTGAAACTTTTTGGCAAGTTAGGCAGATTTTTTAACCTAACTTCTTGACCAATTTTCACCTAATTCCAAGTTTATTTAGACAAAATGGTCAATGTGAACGTTGTAGAAAATTTTTCAAGCTTTCCAAAATGTCCACGAACTTGAAGATATCACTTTTGAGCTAGGAGATTCGAAGAGAAGAAGATGGCATCACAAACATGGATCATAGGTCATTTTTCATGAAGAACACATAACCTAATCTCATAGCTATGCTGCATAACTTCACTTTACAGGATTCTAACTTCTGTGTCACTCCTTAATTTAATGTTTTCACATTTGATTGAGCCATTATCCAAGTGCTTGAGTCATTATCCAAAGTAATGTTCCATTTTTGGAAGAAAGTTACCATTTCATTCTTGTAAAGCAAGCTTTATACATAAAGTCAATGCATTGAGTTCCTCACATGTTTCTTCTAATCACACTCCTTTGTAAAGTGAAGAAGAAACCTCCCTTCACCCAACAAACTCAGACCATGCCAGTACTTGAACTTTGGACCCATGAAAATCCATTTCAACTTGATTTCTCATTTTCAACTAAACCATAACATGTTATCTCAAGAATCTGGTTACTTCAAGATGTCAAACCTTTTCTCTGTAAATAGATACATTATTTGCAAGCTAAGATACGAATTCACAATCCCTCAAACACTCTGAAACTTCAATCTCATAATCCACTCGTATGTTTTCCCTCTAAATCATTCTCAAAACATCTATACCTCAAATACAATTCGTCCTAATCCCTGTTTCCCAACTGTAACTCCATTTACACCATTGTCCAAACTAAAAAACAAAGGTCTGCAACTTGACTTCTCCAGACCATTTCAGCCACTCTCAACTCAAGCTAAGCATTGCATTAGCTTCCTAAAGGACCAAGGAAGCTAACCTGATCATTGCAGCATCTTGAAACAAGCTCATTTCCAAAACACAAATTCCATTTTCAAGATAAGTTTTCGTACTTTTGAACTCTTCATATAGGCAGTGTTAGCTTTCCATTTTCGAAGATAAAATTTAGAAATCATAGCCCTGAAAATGACCATGTCCTTAGAATTCATTTATGTTGCCTGAATAGTGAGAATTTTAGAGTTAAACTTTCTAAAAAAAATAGGTTAGATTTGGTACCATTCAAAATTCATGCTCATCTTTGATTTACAGCTTAATTTTTTTACATTTCTGAAATCGTGGTGAAATTTGGAGCAAGTTTGTTGTTTACATTTTTGCAAATAGTTGAGTGATGAAGAAGTTACAAAATTAAAAAATGGAGGTTTAGGCCTGGCACGAGGAAGAAGATGAACATATCTTCAGAAATGAGTTTAAAATATATATTTGTGGTTTTGTATAAACTAACAGATGTATAGTCATCCCAGTGGTAGAGCGCGCGAGTATAAGTCATAACTATGCCTTGTCCTAGGTTCGATCCAGGCGTGAGTTATTTTTTATTTTTTCTAAGATTTACATTACATATCCTGTGCAAGAAAGCCATATGCGTGTATCAAATCACCTCATATAATCACCATTGGATCATTGTCTGATTGAATCTAACACACCACAAGGCAAGTGTATGATACACCTTCAAAAGTTAGCTACACATAATCAAAATAGGCGTTGGGTATTTGTTTTAGGCCTAATCTGAATTTTTGATTCTTACTCCCCTTTTTACTTTACAATACCTAAGCCCATACCATTTTTTTATTCTTTTTTCTGATTGCCAATAAAAACTGTTTGGGGCCCATAACCCCATTATGGTTTTTAACCCCCATTTTGCTTTTCAAAATCTAGCCCATTTATTTTATATTTTCATTATTTCTTATTTATCAATTTATTTTATTAAAAATAAAAAACACAAATATATATTTTTTTCTTAAAATAATTTAATTTGAATATTTTAGTATATAATTTTTTATTAAATTAAATTCTATTATTTTCTTTTACATTGTAAAAAACATTTTTCAAATCAATACTAACATTCAAATTGTTTTCTAAATAAATTACTTAGACTTAGGTTTTGTTTTCTTCTTAAATTCAATTGGCTTAGATTTTAGGTTTTGACTAAATAATTAATTAATTTTTTTTGTAATTAAATTCAATTAATTTAATTAGGTTAACTATTAAATCTCTCTTTCATCAAAGACCCTAAAAAAATATTTTCTTAACAAATTTAATTTCTTTTCTTAATTAATTTAATTTCTTAATTTAATTTAAATTTAGTTTTATTAAATCAACTTAGACTAATTCTTTATTTTCTTTCTTTTTAATATTAAAACCTTTTCATACAAAAACTCAAACAAAAACAATTTTCTTTTCCTTTCACATTATCTTTATACCCTTGTGTATTTTATTTTGCAATATTAAATATGGTTATAATAGTAAATTAGGTTTTAATTGCTTTCATTTCCCATTTGTAAATTGTATCTCCATCCCCTAAATGATGTAATAGTATGAAACTTTAAATTCCCGCAATTTATCTCTTTCAATATAATTGCTAGTAATTAGGGTTTGTATGGAAAGACATAAAATTAACCATTAGAAAACCCTAATTTCAAAGACAAAAATGCACGAAAATAACACAATTCGCACACTTGCACCTCTAGGGTTAACCCCCACTTGTTGCCTTCAAAACAAAACAGTCATGTCCCTCGAACGTGGGATACTTTAGCAAAAACTCTCGAATACAAGATCGTAGTCCCTCGATGACCCTTCAATGTTGCCTTCGGTAAAACGATCTTAGACCCTTACAACAAATTGCTAAGGTATCCTACAATGTTGCTTTCTATTACTGTACGATGACCCACGCCTATCCCTTTATATCCAATGATAACGCTTCTTACGAATCAATGGTAAGATAGCAATATCTAAAGGAGGAGGAAATGAACAAAGAATTTTTTAGTAAGTAGAACGTTCATAGTTTCTTGCTCACAACATTTCAAAACATCTTTCAAAAACACCACCACTTTCATGAAATATTTTTAAAAGTCAACACTTTGTATACATTCTTATAGAGACGAGAATCATTACAAAGTTCGCCTAAATGAAGGAACTTTTCAAAAATACTTTTAAAATAAATCACAAGCACATTTATAAATCATTTCAAAGTGAGCTACCGTAGACAACTATGGATGAAAAGGGTGCTAACACCTTTCCATTTCACAACCTACCCCCCAACTCAAGAAAATATCTCAAAAGGTATTTCGTGTTCTTTTCACCCTTTCCTTTATTGGATAAAAGAAAAGTCGGTGGTGACTCTTGCTATCCCAACAATTGCGATAAAACGCAAAACACCCAAGTTAGTTCTCCCACCGTATTATATTGGGCATCGGAAGTTTCTAAAACCCAATCATCCTTATCGTAGATTGTAGAAGAATTTTAATAGAGAGCATTATCGTACCCCAATTTTCTCTGGACTTGTAGGTTATTTTAATAAATACAATGTTTGTTTTACTTCGAATTTTCATTTTTTATAAAAAAAATAATATACAAAATTTCTCTTATTCTATTTTATTGAAAATGCGAATAAAAAATAAAATTTTACAAATCTATTTATTATTATTTTTTTAAATCTTAAAAAATATGGTAGATTTTATTTTTGTATTTTTTTATTCTATTTTAGGCATCTTTATCTTCTTTTATATAAAAAAAATACAAAAGAGTTTTTAAATTTTTTTTTGCTTTTAATTGTTATTTTTAATTTTATTTAGTTATCTAAGTGAGCAAGTAAATAATCGGAAAATTAATGGTATGATCTTTTTAATTTGGCAAAGAATTAAAAAAAAACTTTTTATTTTGTCTATTTCGTTATTTTGATTATATTTGATTTCCTTTTCCTTTTTATTTAACCTAAATAAACTAGTATAAATATATGTACAATTTTACACAAGAAAGAAGGAGGAGCAATAAAGCCACTAAAAAAATCCCTTACACTCACGTGTTCTCTTATTCAGAAAAATAAAAAACATACAGTATCATTATCTTCCAAAACTCACAACTTCACACTCTTTCTTCTTCCTTCAAGCACACCATTACAACCATTAAATCTCCAAAACAAACCAACATTACTAACCTTAAACAATATTCAACAACCACTCACCATCACAACAAGAAGTAATAACAACCACAATTTAAAGAAAAATCAAGAAAAAAAAAAAACAAACCACATAAATCTTCATCAACATCATACTCATTAAAAACTTCAACAAGAACTCCAAAATAAATTCTAAAAAAGAAGAAGCCCATAAATAGAAAAATGAGGAAGTGACCACTAAACCACGAATCACGACCACCCTCCTTCAACCAGAAACAAATCGCGACCACTCTGCTATCATCCTTGCATGCAATTGTCAGAAGCACTAATCGAAAGCGCCAAACACAATCTTGTGCATCCCTTCCTCCATGAACTGCACGCGACAACCCTCTCGACTGCATTTCACCTCAGTCGACCAACCACCATGCAACTTCCTCACTGCCCCAAACAACGAGATTGCATCGGCCAATGATTTTGTCCAAATCCACCATCATTTTCGTCTTGACCTCCACCGGTAGCCCCTTTTATTTTTCTCCCTTGTTTTTCTTAGTTGTGTTTTATTGTTGCTTGTGTTGGGATTGTTTTTGAGAGAGTGAATGAAACTATGGTTGAAAGTGTGTGAGAGAGAGACAAAGACAGAGAGAGAGTATGGATGAGAGAGGAACAAGAAAAATATTATTCTAATTATCTTGGTTTTTTTAGTTTAGTATTTGTTTTATTTTATTATTTTAATTTTAAAATGTCATATGTCCTTGTTGTTGGAGCACAAGAAAAATAAAAGACAAAAGGAATATTTACTGATAACTTCAAAAAATAAGGATTTACAATAAATTTCAATAACCTACTCCACTAGGCTATTTATACACACAAATTAAATCTAAAATATATCTTCTACAAAGATATAAGAAAATCTAAGATTTATATCTTCTAACAAAGATATAAACAATCTAAAAGATATTTCTAAATATAAATTAATATCTAATTAAATCTAAATAAATTCTAACACCATCCCTTAATTTATATTTATCCAAAACTGACAATGCCAATTCCATCCCTTAATCCAAGAAATTGATCAGTTTTGATAGCCTTTGTCAGAACATCTTCCAGTTACTTCTGGGTGCTACAGTGCACAACCTCTATTATTCCATTCTGAACTTGATTCGTCAAAAAATGATACTTGGTCTCAATATGCTTGCTTCTCCCATGCAACACTGGATTCTTGGCAAGATTGATTGTAGATTTGTTATCAATCATCAGCTTCAGAGGTTTATTTACCTCAATCTTCAGATCTTTCAGCAAGTTCAGAATCCACACAACTTGACATGCAGTCAGAGAACCTGCAATATATTCAGCTTCATAGGTTGACAAAGCAACAACAGGTTGCTTCTTGGAACACCAAGAAATAGGACCCCCCCCCAGAAATTTGAATAAGTACCCAGAAGTACTTCTTCTGTCAACTTTATCTCCGCACCAATCAGAATCAGAATAACTCAGAAGTTCTGATTCGATCTTTTTTCCAGACAGGAAATAACACTCCATATTTTAGAGTTCCCTTCACATACCTTAGAATCCTGACTGCAGCTTGGTAATGGGACCACTTTGGTTTGCTCATAAATCTGCTAACCATTCCAACTGCATAGAAAATATCAGGTGTGGTATTACACAAATACCTTAGAGAACCAACCATCTGTTTGAAGGTTGTAGCATCTACATCCTCTCCATCAGAATCAGAATCCAACTTCTGATTCGTATCAACAGGTGTGATAGCAACCTTCCAATTTTCTAGCTCAAATCTCTTCAGAAGCTCTAGTTCATACTTCATCTGATGTAAAATAATTCCTTTCTCAGAGTACATAAATTTCATCCCTAGAAAGAAACTCATTTTTCCAAGATTTGTCATCTCAAATGCATTCATCAGAACTTTCTTAAACTCAACAATCTCTTGTTCAAAACTTCATGTGAGTAATATGTCATCAACATACAAACAGACCAGAATCATATTACCTTATGAAGTGTGTTGAACATAAACACCATACTCCATCTCTCATTTCTGAAACCCTTGTTCCTTAAAAAATGAATCAATTTTCAAATTCCAAGCTCTGTGCGCTTGCTTCAATCCATACAAAGCTTTGTGTAATTTGAACACCATCCATTCCTGATTTTTCCCCTCAAATCCAGGAGGTTGTGAGACATACACCTCTTCTTGTAATGGACCATTCAGAAATACAGATTTTACATCTAAATGCATCAGAGGCCAATTCCTGTTAGCAGCTATTGCAATCACTAGTCTGGTTGTTTCATGTCTCACCACAGGTGCAAACACTCCAAAGTATTCCAGCCCAGGCTTCTGTAGAAAGCTTCTTGCTACTAATCTCGCTTTGTGTTTGCCAATTGATCCATCTGGCTTTAGCTTCTGCTTGAAAACCCACCTGACGTTGATGGCTTTCTTGCCTTTTGGAAGTTTTATCAACTTCCAAGTCTTGTTTCTCTCTATAGCATCAAGTTCTTCTTTCATGGCCTGTAACCAAACTTTCCGCTTAAGAGCCTCTTCCATACTCACGGGTTCAGAGTCTACTAACATTGCACACTAAATAACTTCTCCTTCAGAGTCTACTTCAGTGTCTTGCAACATGTCAAACTCTATAAATCTTCTTAGGATGCTTCTGACTCTTTGTTTCCTCTGAACTGGACCTTCAGAACTTTGGACACCAGAACTTTCCCCTTCAGAAGCACTTGCTTCAGAAATTGGAGTTTCTCTAGAACCTTGATTGTCTTCAAAGTTTGGATCACCATCGGAGTCAGAGTCAGAATCATCTTCTCCTTCTGTATCTTCTTCAGAGTCAGAGTCTTTATCAGCTTCAGAAACATGTATTTCTGACCTTTCTTCAGAAGTTCTGTCATCAGAGTCAGGACGAGACTTTTTCCCAATTCCAAACTTCTGATTCCTCTACAATGACGTCTCTGCAGAACTCAACTTTGTTAGTTTCTGGACAATAAAGTTTGTACGAACCTGTACTGTGATACCCCACCAGCAACATCACTTTACTTCTATCATCCAGCTTCTGTCTTCTGGCTTCTGGGACATGTTTGTAACATACAGAACCAAATACCTTCAAATGACTAACACTTTGCTTATCTCCAGTCCACTTCTGAATAGGAACTATTTCCTTTAATTTCTTTGTTGGACATCTGTTGAGCACATAACATGCAGTTGCAACAGCTTCTCCCCACAAAGTATGAGGAAGCTGCTTCTTATCTTTCAGCATGCTTCTCACCATATCTAGCAAAGTACGATTTCTTCTTTCAGCAAGACCATTATGTTGAGGAGTATAGGGAGCAATAACCTCATGCTCAATTCTATTCTCCTCACTGAAACTTCTGAATTCTGTAGAGTTATACTCACCCCCACCATCAGTTCTAAGAATCTTCAGAGTCTGGCCACTCTGATTCTCAGCCTTCAGTCTGAACTTTTTGAATTCATCAAATACCTCGTGTTTGAACTTTATGAGAGATACCCATGTTATTCTGGTGAACTCATCAACAAATGACACAAAATATTTATTCCCTCCAGTCGATGCTATTGGAAATGGACCACACACATCATAATGTACTACTCCCAAGGCATGTTTTTCTCTTAGAGCTGCTTCTAATGCAAAGGGTAATCTTGGTTGCTTCCCTTCCATGCACACCTTGCATGACTTTTCAAGCTTTTTGATTGTATGAATTCCATTTACCAGGTTCTTTTACTTCAAATGCCCTAAACTTCTGAAATTTAGATGACCAAATCTTCTGTGCCACAACTCACTCTCCTTGACAACACTTGTTGCACTAAGACATTCAGATTCTGCAGTTCTAACATTCACCTTGAATGTTCTGTTCCTTCCCTATTCTGACTCCATAATTAGCTTCTGATTACAGTCATACAGCTTCAAAAGATTGTCCTTCATGGTAACTGAAAAACCTTTCTCAACCAGTTGTCCCACACTCATCAGATTGCTTTTCATGCAAGGTACATACCAAACATTCTAGATCACTACTGCTTTCCTATTGTTTAGAATGAGTTTTACATTTCCCATACCTTTTGCATTGACGTATTTATCATCAGCACATTTTATCTTTATACTCTTCCCAGAGTCAAAATCAACCAACCACTTCTTGTTTCCAGTAAGATGGTTTGAACACCCTGTGTCCATATACCACCATTATGATGAATTCAGATCATCAGGTTCAGAAGCCAACAATAGCACAGGTTCATCATCAGACTCTCCTCTTGCTACATTTTCTTCTTTTGACTTCCTTTCTTTGTTGGACCAGAAATCTCTGGCATAGTGACCAAGGTTCTTGCAACAGTAACACTAAACATTCTTCTTGTCAGGCTTCTCCTTTCCCTTCTAGACATTCTTCTGCCTAACAAAATTTGAAGCTTCTAACTTTTGACCACCATTAATTTTCTTCCTGGCTCCTGATCAAGTCAGCTTCTGATGCTTCTTACTAGAAGTTTCCTTCAGAGCCTGCTGCTCTACTTCCCTCTCAGAAGTTCTTGCAGTCATACGCAACTCATGCGCCTCTAGACTACTTTGCAGCTCTTTAACTCTCATGGTACTCAGATCTTTGGAATGTTCAATTGCTACAAAAATGCAATCAAATTGAGAAGTTAAAGATCTCGAGATCTTCTCAATAATTACTTGTTTAGACATCGTTTCTCCATAAGATTTCATCTCATTAGTGATCAAAATCCCTCTAGAGATGTATTCAGAAACCTTCTCATTGTCCGTCATGTTGAGATTCTCATATTTATTTCTGAGAGACTGAAGCTTCAACTTCTTTACTGATGCGTCACCATCGTAACATTTAACCAGTGTGTCCCACACAACCTTTGCTATTTTAGAATCAGCAATCTTCTCAAACACATTCATATCCATACATTGATGGATGTATAACAACGCTTTCTAATCTTTCTTCCTCAGCGCCTTCTGTGCTATCTTCTGGTCCTCTGTTGCATCTACTTCTAACAGATTATAGCCATCAGTAACGAATTCTAACATATCTTGAGAGCCAAATAACACGCGCATCTAGATCTTCCAACGATTCTTGTTTTTTCTATCAAATACTGGAAGCTTGGAATGAATATCGCCACCATTTCCGTTCATCTTCTACCTTATGCAATTTACGCAGAATTTCCTAAATCAATGTTTTCTCAAAACTCCCAGAATCAGAATATTGTAATTCTTAATCACAATACTTCTTTTCCCGTGGATTTCAAACCGGAGCTCTAGATTCCAATTGTTGGAGCACAAGAAAGATAAAAGACAAAAGGAATATTTACTGATAGCTTCAAAAAATAAGGATTTACAATGAATTGCAATAACTGAAGGAAAATTGTGATCAAAAGCGCAGCGGA